AAAAGTTCCCACCACCACCTATTTTTCTTATATCCTTAGAAGAAATAACCATATCTCCTTATAACATTAGTAGAGGTGTTATCAAAGAGTTTAGAACTGTTTTTACATAAAATGTACAACATGACCAAAGGATATATGACAGTCACTAGTATCAAAACAGGTAAAACTAAAAAGATTATGTAGAAAATATGCTCTTAAGTGTAGCACTATTAATCCATTTAGCTTTTCATGTAATACTAATTATCAAATTTTTGGCAAAAAATTATCTAAAGAGCTGCTTAGTAAATGTTTTATGAAGTAAGGTAAGTAAAAACAATTAAAGTGCTTATAAGCATATTTACATTATTATATTTTATTTCCGAATAGTAGGCTTCTTTTGGCTTTACATAATTTAGAATATATATGATTAATTTCATCATAATGTAGATAAGAATCAAAAATATTAGAGGGAGAACAATTGAAACATAAATAAACCTCAAATATTAAATCGGAATTTAAGTATGCATTGAGCTTAGACTACAATCTAGTGAATATAAAAAGACAAGTACAGGTTATGAAGCTACTTCTGGGAAAGTGAATAAGAAAGAAAATAAATCAGGGAAACTAACTTATAGATTTTCTTTTAAGGATGTAATGATGTAAAATTAATTGATAAATATTTTTGATATGACAGATGATTAAAGAATAAATTAAGAAACTCCAAATTAAATAACATTAATCGAAGAAAGAATTCTAATTTAGCACATTTTACAGTTGTTATTTTAGGATTCAACAATTAAAAATCCCAAATAAAATAAAACTGATAAAAGAACCAAAATTTACTTATATGCGTTATCCTTTATTTAATCACACCTAATACATTAAATACCTTAGCTACCTACTTAACTTTATCCATACTATAGTCCCCAAATTTTTCCATAATTATCACATGATGAGCACAAAGCTCCAACATACCCTTCTGAACAATATCCTTTTGATTCATTACCATTACAATTATTAGAATTACAAAAAAATATTTAATCAGATT